TTTCAGTAGGAAATTTTACTTCCTATCACACCCATTTGAAGAAACACTAGGAAAGATTTATGAAAGCTAGTACTTTTCAAATCTTCCTTCTGAATTACAAACATTTAACATTTAAACAAACAAATTCTCAGGGACAAAGGCAGTAGATTTGAAAACTGTAAATCTTTTATCAAAATGTTATTAATCTTTTATTAAAATTAAACATATTTCTTATGTTAAAAGAAAAAAAAAAGAAAAAAAGAGAAAAAGAATCCCACTGACAGCTGGACTTTTTAAACAGGTTTTCCTTTTTCTTTTTCTCTTCCATAATGCCGCCCTACAGCTGCTGGCTACAGGGCAAAGCCAGTCAGCAGCTCCTGTGCTTGGCAAGTCTCTCCAAGCACTTGCACTTTTACAGGAAATTTGCTGATCTGCGGAGGACAAACTGAATGAATGGAAAGGAATTAACACCGCCTCCTGCCAAAATCCAAACAAGCACTTCTGAAAGGAGTATTTACCTGTTTGGAGCTGGGAGTTACCCATTTCCTCACTTAACCTTTCTAATTGCCTTGATTTGATCACGTTGCAGCCCAAGACAAAGCTAATTCAGAGCGCTGCATCTCAGAAATTCTCTCTCTACTTTATTCGTTCACTAATTCCCCTCCTTCATTTTCTTTAACTGCACAAGGTCATTTTCCCCAGATGGTATTGGGCAGTCTGATTCTCTTTGCTCAGCCTGGAGTGAAACACATTTCCTTCAGCCTCTCCCCAGCAGCATGACCGTGGCTCCACCAGCACCGCCATTCGCACACAGACACGGCTTTTCCACCTGCCTCTCTGAAAACACTGAACCTAAAACACTGCATATCTTTATCATCTAGTATTCAGTTAATATGATGACTGTATTCTTTCTCCGGGTCCAAAAGCAAGCCACTACATCCATAGCTATTTTGGTGTCTGCACCTACCTATTTGGTATCTGAATCTTCCTACCCATCCTTCTATCAAAGGTGGTAACTAGCTAGGGACACATTTCCTTACACTTTACTTGTATTAGTCTTAAACAACTTGAATATGATTATTACACAGGACATTTAATATGCTAAAACAGGACCAGAATATTTAATACAAAGAAAGAAAGAAAGAAAGGCATGCCATGACTTTTGGAACTGTGTCAAAGAGAGACAGAGTAATAACACAGCCAATACAAGAGTGTGATTCCCCTTAAGTCAAGGGGAAAGCCACCTGCAAGTGCAATAAAACACCCCTTACTCATCATCACACCAAATTTCCAAAGACCTAAAGGGCTACAAAGAGATGCCACCTCTAAATGAGAAGTTTATATCACAATAAAATGTCACATCTGTGTTTACACACTCCAGTAACTGAGCTAATGTCAAGGCCACTTTGGCAGAAAATTATTAAACTGCCTGAAAATCCTAAGGACTAAATATCCAGCCCTTCCTCAAAACACTGTTAAATTTGATCTACTATCATAGAAATCAAATGCAGAATACCTAAAAAAGGCCAATTAGAGCATAATAAACAGAAAACAACTCTAGTATTACAGTAATTCTGACTTCGCAAATACTCAACAGGAGAAGCATATATTTGGAATTTAAAAATTGTGAAGAATTTACCTAAAAACACATCTACCAAGTACCTCTTCTCCCAAAGGATGGGAAAAGCTGCAGTTAAACAGAACACTCCTTTGACCTGCCTTGCACATCCCTGCAAGCTCAAAGGGATCTACTGGAGCGTCCGACCAACTGCAGCAGTTACCCCACAAGACAGATACAGGGAGAACAACACAACACACAACTGCCTTCAGGAACGCCAAGCGCCTATCCACAAGGTTACAAGTGCCTCACTAGAAGAACCCAGCCGCTGCTAAAAATAAAGGCTGCTATTAATCACTGGCAAACACACACAAGTGCTACGTAATAATGTTGTTGAAAATTGTGTGACAACAAAAATCAAACCGAGCTGAAAGAACTGCTGTCTCAAGCTGTAATTATAGACAACATAACTTGTCTTGAACCCCAAATACTTGAAATTAAGTGATTTTTTAATGTTCACCCCAAATATGAGCCAAATACCCTTGGCTAACTAGTCCTTTGTTAAGCAGGATGAATAAGTACAAAATTTGCCATTTTTTTTCGGGACTGGATTATATTCTTTTTGATTCAATGAAAATAAAGACCAATGAAATATATAGGAACTATGTATATATGTAGGTCTATGTACAGTGTTACATAGTTTCTGCATTTTAAAACTTCTGGGGTTAAATTGATAATTTTCCTAATTCCTGTTTTCAGTAGACAATAGCTAAATCTCTGACACCTTCATGTCAACCACAAACAAGCAGCAGGCTGTCTGCCCACACAGTGAGAAGTAATTTTCCCTTTCATTATTTCTAGTTACATCTCCTTCTAAAAGTGGATCATCCACTTTGCCCTGCCAATCAAATATGTCATATGTGGTTTGAAAGCTCGCGCTGCAGTTGTATAGGGGACCTGTCTAAAAGGGGCTGTTGCTAATTTAGCTAACTTATGTCTTGGGAGCAGAACCTGCGATCCCATCTGTGCTGCATTTTGCTTGTCCAAAAGAAGAGAAGAGCAATTCCGATAGTTTTAACCCTGGTAGGGAAGCAGGCATCACATGTAGCTGATGGAAGAATGAGCAAGTGCAGGTTGCATCTAGCAGTAGCTGATTGCCCTTACTTTCTCCACAAGGCATTAGTGGGGGCATGCCTGTGCTATCCCTGAAACATTTATTTTTGGTGCCCTTTTTTTCTGATAGGAAAGCAAACAGCAAAGACACTAAAACACAATTTCATGGCAGTGTTTGTAATTAGCTCCTAACGCAGGAAAGGAAAGCAGAGCCCCAATTCTGCTCCGCATTGTCACTATTAACAAGTGAAAACATTTGTTTTCCACCATCTGCTAACTCGGTGCTAATTTTGCGCTGCATTCTCATCTATTTATGATTATTAGAGAAGTGTTATCGTTCAATGAGTTTAAAAAGAAAGGCTGTTGCTTTTCCCTTTACACTGAGCTGCTAGGAAAATCAGTAGCGCAGAAGTAGTTATGCAGGGTTTTCCGGTCAAAAACAGTGACTACACAAGTGTTTCTGGAATATTTCTATAAGGTTCAGTTTACCCAATCCAAATATTTGAGCCTGGTAAGGTTTTCCAGTATGAGTTGAAGGCCTCTGCTAAGAAGCAGGAAGAGGAGAGAAATGAAGAAGGAATGAGTGTCTCCTGCTCACAGCCCCTTCCTCACAGCCAAGTGCCTCGCTGGTGCTTCACAATGGCATCTTGCTAGATTTCTGGGCAGGTTTTGTGGAGATTATGGCACAAAGAAATTTCTGGGAAGAAGGAAAAGTCATAAATCCAGCAGAACAACAGAAGACATTATTGGGCAAACAAGGAGCTGCCAGAGAAACACGTTTGCTGTTATTTTCTTAGCACTTCCTTCGGGCCACGGTGGCACTGCTAAATAATTACCTGCCTCAGCTTGAGGAAACTGAAAAGAAACAAGAGAAACTTTTTTTTATTTCCCGTTGCACTCACCACCACGTTATTTTTTTCCCTCATTATCATGGCAAGTGCTGCAGGAGTTACCCTGTCCTTTGGCAGGAAGGACAGGAGGGAGGCATTGCAGAAAACAGCAAACCAGAACGGATTAAGATGCACAACGCTAGCTGGTTTTCTAAAAGATTTAAGAAGAGAAGTGCAGCTATGAGTGCGGCGTTGGGCAAGAGCCTTGTAGACTAATATCCCTACTGGCATTTCATTTTCAAACCAAGGTCCTGTGACTTGCACTCGGAGAGGCACAAAGCCCAGTCAGGGCAAAAAAACACTCTTCTAGGATGCGCTGATTTAAAAATGAAAAACTAAAAACAGGTTCAAAAACAGGCCTAGCAATGAAATCCTGAACTCCAAGTGACTTTGTTTCCCTCCTCGGAGTCATCTTGCCCTGCTGCCCTTTTACAGATGCTCAGTGCTGTTACTATCCCCATCAGCCGCATCTTCCAGCCCTGCTGCTGTTTATGACCAAGGAAAATGAGGCAAATGAGGACCCAGAGCCTCCGTCACCAGTTCTGCCACCCTGCAGGGGACACCACCAGTGCTGGGGCTGTGCAGCTTCTCTGTCCCATCAATCCTGCCTAATGAGGAGAAGAAGGTGGTAGGTGTTGCAACTCAAAGACAAAATTAAATACAAAAATCTGCATTTAATCCACACCATGTAGTTTATTCCAGCAAGGAATCTAGAGTCAATCAGGGCATGATAATCCTATGAAGTGTGTCCTAAATGAGGCCTGCCCCACAGGTGCGAGCAATTGCTGTGGAAATGCATGATAATGTAAATGCTGGTGCTCCTATCACAAAAATGAGAACTTTCCTCAGGTATTTGTGTAGGAAAGTCACAATAGAAAAAAAACAGGCATTGCAAAAAATCTTAAGATTTTCTCTTTGCAGCATTAATTTAATCACCACATTCTTGTTAGTCACTAAATAGGTTGAAATCACAAAGCAAAAATATAAAAAAAGCAATCTTCCATCTTCTGGTTTGCATTTTAAACAGGATGTTTTAGAGGAAAAGGGAGGAATCGACAAACACTTCAGACTGGTAGTATTTGATAGTGTTTCTGTATGCCTGAAACCTCCCTCCCCACTCTAAGTTTTATTAGGGAAAAATAATTAGATTTTTCTCTATTAAGAAAAGAAATAATCTTTACCAATACCTGCAGACCCTGTGTACAACATACAGCACCACTCTTAGAAGAAGATTCACAGCTAGCAAAGAAGAAAGTAACCAGGTCCCCTAACAGGAAACCATGTCCTCACCAGCAAACTGCCTGCAGAGTATTCAAGTTATGCAATATTTCATATACCCCAAGTATTTTGATAGCACGAGAAAGACGGTAATAAATAGAAGGTTATTGATGGAGTAACTGACACACATCACAACTGTGCAAACAGGGTTGGAAACACAACAAGGAACGAAAGACTCAAACCTGTGACCAGTTCTCTGATTTCCAAATCTGTAGTCTTGCGGAGTAACCGTACTAATGCTGGGATGCCACCACAGTTTTTCAGGGCAATTTTGTTGTCATCGTTTGCCTTCCCATACACCAAATTTCTCAAAGCTCCACAGGCACTACGGTGGACTTCTGTCATTCGATGGTCCAATAGGTCCACCAATAATTGTATTCCACCTTGTCGCCTTATCTGAAACAGAACAAAGTCAGGACCATAAAATTGGGGAATGAACACCAGCATTATATTTGCTGCTCAGTTTAATAAAGCTCTGGTTTATGCAGGCTCTACCCACTGAAACTATGCTAGTATCCTACAAAGCAGGTATATTCAATTTCTTTGATTCTTCCTACTAGCCTTTCAGTGGTAACGTTAACTGTACAACAATCAACTTGAGCCTCTTTAAAAGCAGCAAAATGTTATCCAAAAAGGTTGCTTCAGAGAGGTTTCTCAAGGTTCTGCCAGATTTGACTTGGCAAAGGTTCCTCCTGCACTTTAGAAACATCATCTGCGTCAAGAGCCTGGACATCACTGATGCACATAATAGGAGAGGAACAAGCTAGCGACTGTGCACTCTGAAGGAAGAGACCACAAGACTAGTATTGTCCTGCTCTGCAAGGAAAAGAACAGAGGAAACAATGGATTAAAGTTTTTAAGGCTCTGGCATTTTCATTTATTTACTTGGCATGTAAACAATTACCGTAGTCTCTGTAAGGATGCAATATCTACAAAACAAAAAGTTGTATGAGTGAAGATGTAAAAGGGAAGATGTCTGCATATACATGATGACAAGGGGATGGACAATTCAAGTGAGAATATGCTCTGTTATGACTGAGGATGATCCTTAAGTGATGTAGGAGCAAAATTCTTGTTAGTTCCTAAAATGGCCTACAGAAGCATACAATTAATGCAGTGTTTTGTATAAAATCCTGGTTTATCACAAGGTCATTCACAATATAACCTGGAAAAGTAACTGAAAACATAAAGAGTTCTCAGCAGGTATCCATAGGTTTTACAATCTTTATGAGAAAATATGCTGCACAATCACAAAGTCAAGCAATTATTTTTGGGTTAAGGAACTAATTTAGTCAATCTCTAAGATACAGCACATCAACCATCTGAGTTTCTACTTGAAACCTAGATAAGATAAGAAAGATAACCAAGTATTCAAGCTTAAAAAAATATGTATATCAGAGCCTAAAGATAGTGGTTTGATTTTTGTTTGGAAAGTGTTATGACATGACTTCAAATTAAGGAACTAAAAACTAACACTTCAGTTCCCTGATCTTCTCACACACACACACTGTTCTCAGATGACATGCTTTTATTTAATTTTATTTCTGAAGAAAGCAAGCACTGCCTTCATCTGCATTCTGAACAGGTCCTGGTCTTTTGCAGCAAATGCAAAATCTTCGTAAAATCCACAGGAAATAAAATTAGTTAAATGGTGAAGATACAGTTTACAGTTTTAGGCCAGGAATGAACCTTAAGAGAAGAAGCTGGAGAAGTATGGGAATCTGCTGTCTTCAAGAGTGACTCGCCACTATTAAGATGCCTTTTTTTTTTTTTAACTGTTACTTCAAAGAAAACCCCACAAATAATCCACATATACAAGACATACAACCATACTCTTATCTTGGGCACAAATAACAGGTAAGCCTTATATGAAGGAAAGATACAAAAGGAGAAGTATAAGCATACCTGAAACAAATGATCATGGAAGACAAGGACAGCAAATACATTTTATTAAAAAAGTTAAATCCATTTGCTACCAACTCGGCTGACAGGGTTCTCTAGCCCTGTCTGCTCCTCAAGCTGTGAACAGCATTGGATCTTCTCACAATAAACTCGAGAAGCTAACACCTAATGTCCGGGGAGTACAAAGGTTTATCTCCAAGGAAGTTGTACTGACAGCTCTGTCAAAATTTTCTGTGTGTGTGTGTGTGCATGCGCTGCTAGTGAGGGCGCAGAGCCAAGTCAGGCACACTAAATAGCCGTTTTACCACCTACAGCAATATTTTGCCTAGGACATAAGAAAAAAGGAGACAGCTATAGAGTATTTTCCAAACGGCAGGGGAAAAGTGAGACATTATTTTTAGAATCAAAGCTTATCATGGCACATCCCCATTTTTGTAATAATAGCAAGACCAGTACCACAGCAGTCTTACTGTTTAAAAAATATATACTCATTTATACTTCATATATTATGGTATTAAATTAAAACCTTATGATGTGTATACACTTACAATAGAGCTTTTGGCCAAATCCCACAACAGTAACTACAGAGATAAATCAAAACCTTTTCCTGGTGGTCACTACATGAGTGCACCATGTTGAACTGAGCAGTCTGAGGCCACGTGGGAGACTGCAGCTGCCAGGGCTGCATCCAAAGGGCACAGATGTGAGCGGATGGTTGTACGATGAGTGAAATACAGGCGCACGGGCCAACCCGTGAGAGCCCACGCTTCGACTGCCCAGGACACCAGCGCGCCGTTCACTTCAGAAAAACCCATCGCAGAAGATGCGTCGCAACAGACTAGGAACAGAAGTACACAAGTGGGGCTGCTACGAGGAGCACTGTGCAGAACAAGAGGATCAGCACAGGCCTAATAGGGAATGGTTCTGCACTGTTAAAGCCCAATATGCAAAATGATTATTTTAATTGCTGCACTGACTAGACAAAAAAAAAAGTCATGAATGATGAAAGGAATGATTAATAGCATTTCTTCAAAACAGGGGCATTAAATATTCATTTGAAATACATTTCTGCTAGGAAAATAAAAGGCAATATAACAGAAATGCAACTGATGTTACATAATTCTTTATCAAATTCAAGAAAATGCTTTAAATTCTACCGAAAAAAACCCAGCTACGTTCACCTGGAACAGACTAATGTTACTATGCAAACATTCTCTAACTATCCAGGCTCAGAGGTCTTGGCAAAGTAGCTGTGCTACTACACAAAAGAAAGATGAAGCTGCTTCTTCGCAGTTGAAAGTCCATCTACTGATGGTTCTTTTATTTTTAATCTGGACTACTGTCACACTTTTTTCTTTTCTTTTTTTTTTTTTTTTTTAACTTCCAGCAGTCCATTATTGATCAAAAATCTTAACCCATCTCCATGTTTCCACATTTACACAGCTGCTTCATACTGTTTTCTCCAGCAGGTTTAATTATGCCTCATAAATTTTGAGATTGTGACAAATGCTACCAGAATCTATTTACATTTACGGAAACTGAGGTAAAGAAATTAAATTACTTGTTCAAATCCTCTATGGAGCTAGGACTCCAGCCCGGGAGAGCTCTCAGGCTTAGGCAATTCCTCAGGGCAGGTTCTCAGCTGAGCTAAGTTGCAACCACTCCAGTGAATTCAGCAGTGCTACTGCCAAACGTATTTGCTAAGGACACCTCGATGGGTGGATAAACAGCAGTTCACACCAGTGTGGCATCAAATGCCACTTTCTCACATGACTTTCAAAAGAGCCTTTGATCTCTCCCTTGAGGTTATATGAACAGGACATTTCTGAATGTAATATCTATTGACACATGGCTGTTGGAGACAGAGAAGATGTAATCCCTGTTCCTAAGAAGGAGCTCCTGGATGTCCTCTGCCAAGAGCCTTTGAGAAATGTAATTTATTGGTCTCAGGGTTGACTTTTGATTCAGTGGATGTGGCTCCATGATGAGCCCGCAATACATTTTTCACAATACATTTTGCATGACAGTGGACTGTTAAGCATTTAATTTACCACAAGATACATGCGACTAGCCTGAAGTATATGCATTGATAAAACAGGTCAATAGTATATTGATGATATGTCTGAAAAACATGGATATATTGGCTTACTTTATGATTTCAACACATGAACTATTTAACAACTTACTTTTCCTATTTGTTACAATAGATTGTAAGGATGTGTGGAATGTAAGGACACATGGAGAGAAAAAGAAATGCAGAACATAAAGAATATGTCAGTATTCCGAACATAAGACACCTATCTAGCATACAAAGACAAAACAGGGAAAACAATAATACTTATTAGACCAAACCCTAGACAAAAGAGACAATGCCAAAAATGAATGAGATCACTGGCCACTGAAAGAACCACTCCAAGTCTTGGAGAGGCTCAACCAGAGCTTTTGTAACTGATAAAAGAAGTATCTGTGTGTGGGAGGTAGGGGAGAGGAGATGTAAAGGTTATTATGGATCTCACAGCAAAGAGGAAGCTTACTGTGGGATGCTTTAAGGGAATGCGCAAAACTTATGGGACATTGAGAGGAAGGGCCCTAGGCAGGAAGGGGAAGAGGGAGAAATGCACATGAGAGAATGGAGAGGGGAATACATGATGAAAGGGTCCAGTCATAAATAAACAAGCTCCTTGTCCATACAGTCGTTTGGCCAAGCCTCGTGCCTGATCACCATAGTCGTTTTTATCTCACTAAATGCTATTTCTCACCCTGTTTTTGGATGAGGTGCTCTGCATTCTGGGTGTGCACAGCGACAGCTGGAGTAGTTGATCAGATCAGAGGTCTGGGAGCTGGGGGCCCTAGAGACTATGGGTCTGAGCCAGCACTGCAAAGACCTGTTTGTGCTTGTGTGGATGCACAATCTGCCAGCAAGTTTTGAACCTCATAAACCATCTAATAGGGATGGTTTTATTTCTAGGAATATCTCTATCTAATGCATTTCTCATTCATTTATTTTTGTTTTTATTGATAAGTAGTTTAGGTTAATAAATACCACACACATTACATCTGAGATCTTAACCGGCTGACACGTTCAGCCTTAGAGCATGTTTAAGTGAAGGGTGCAGAACAAGAGCAGCCACCGGCTGCCTCTTCAAGCCCGCGTAAAGGACAAATGCCCAAGTTCTGATGCGGTGCCACAAGGTTTCTTGCTCTCTTTCCAAGCAGCAGTTAAACCTTGAGCACACCAAATGCTTGTAACAGCAAGAGAACAAGGCCTGGCTCCACAGACAGGAAGTACTTTATGCTGCATTCAACCAATGCTCTTATACTAAGGGCCTCCTGGGCACAATGGATCAAATTTAGAGCTACAGTCTAAAAAATCTGAGACCTCTCCCCAGGAGTATTTAGATCCCTTTGGGATAGAGGCAATCAGCAAAGCCATCTGCCTGGATCTACAGCTTTGGGGTTCTTCTGCCCGCCCTGTGTTCCCCTCGTTGAACATA